AAATAAATGAAAAAAAACATTAATATTGTAAAAAATTAATTTAAAAAAACAACCCCTCCCCTCACACACATAACATACACGTGCACCATATTGTGGTGTATGCCATACACATACGCTGCAGTGCGTTGTTAGAACGCATTGCAGTGCATGATTTTTTTTTCTTTTAAAAAAAACAATTTAGGCAGCAAAGCTTTGTGACGCATTGCCATGCGTTGTGATACCTTGTGTTGCAATTAAATATACTCCTGTATAATTTTATCACAACACAAACACCAACACAGTGTAAAAACTATTTTTAACATAAGTCGCTTATTTACAGTTTTGCGTACCTTCATTTTTTTACCTTTTCGCAAAAAGGCGCAAATTCAAATTTGCAAATATTTGTTATTTATTAACTCAATACAGTTTTATCTTTTAGATTTAGTCAGAAAATCATTTTTTTTGGTGCGCTGATACTGATTTTAGTGTGTTTTATCAATTGAATTGTGTATTTTTATCGGTTTAATATTAATTTGAGAAACATTTGCACAATTATCACAGGGCCTACAAATTTAGTAGCACCATCTTTTTATTCTACCGGGCCTGCACTTTCAGAAAATATATGGTTTGGGCGATCTTTTACAAACGCTAGCAATCCAGCAGTTGAAAATATAATCAATGGGAAAAATTGCCGGCATCTGGAGCCTCTCATCCCTGCCCCAGAGCTATCCAGGCAGGGATCTGTGACTCCATGGATCCCCGCTGCTGTCCCCCGCTTGTAGGGGCTGTGGCAATGGGGATTTTAAAAAATCTCCAGCGGGGGGCGGAGGAGCAAGCGTCGGATGGCGGGGAGAAGCCGCAAGTTTCAGGATGGCTGAGCGGTGAGGAGAACCGAGCCGCTGTCATCCTGTCAGTTTCCGGATGACCGGCTCTGTGCGTGGCCGAACGGAGGATTGATAAATATTAGGGATGCACCGATATATCGGCCGCCGAAACATATCGGCCGAAAATGGCACTTTTGGCATAATGCCGAAAGTGCACTTTTCCTGCCGATACATCGGCACATCCCTGATTTCTTTCCTCCCCGCTGGGCGCTACTCTATGTCCCAGCGGGGAGAAGAGAAAGTGACAGCCGGCAGAGTGCTGTGAGCGGCCGGCGTCTCCTCCCACACCACTCTGCCGCCTATCACAGTCCGGCAGAGCGGTGTGTGGGCGGAGACGGCACTGTCACAGGAGGCTGGGCTTTCCTCTCTACACCGCTCGATCAGCCTCCTGTGACAGTGTGTCAGAAAGAAGAGCAAGGTACACACACTCAGTGATCACTGAGTGTTTGTACATAATTGAGGATATGGTATGTTAACTATATCCTACTTTACATGCACTAAGTTGAATTGCTTATAGTTTCACTAATTGCTGTTCGTTTTGGACACTCTCAGGACTCCTCGGTCGTGCATGTACGCAGTGGTGTATTTTGGTTTGGGGCTGCCCTAGGCAAGCCGAAACTCAGGCGCCCCCCCCCCCACTTCCTCCGCCCTCTTCTTGCTGCCTCCTCCGCCCCTTCTTGCCGCCCTCCTCCCAAGTAGCCCGATCAAAGCTGCGGGGACCCGTCCCGGACGCGCCTCCTCCTCACCGTCCCGTACCCGTCCCTTTCTACTGACGTCCCTTGCTGCCTCCTCCTCACCGTCCTGGACCCGTCCCCTTCTACTGACGTCCCTTGCTGCCTCCTGCTCACCGTCCCCTGCGGCTCACGTCCCTTGCTGCCTCCTGCTCACCATCCCCCCCCCTGCCTCCGGCTCACCATCCCCTCGCTGCATCCTCCTGGTCTCTGATTCCCCTGTTACTTCATGAGGCTGCCGGGCTGCGGCATTTTCGCTGCCCCCCTGGGGAGTGCCGTCCAAGGCAATCACCTTGTTTGCCTCACGGCAAATACACCCCTGCATGTACGCATGACTGTGCCTCCATGGTCACGGAGTGAGAATGTAGCCAACTTGGGCCGCCTGTATCTTGCTCTGTGGCCTGTTCATATTAGCGATATGCGGATCCCCGGTGGTTCTGTGGGAGCCCCATAAGGTCACAATGCGGGGGCAGCTCATTGAGCCTCCTGCTGAAAAATAGAGAGAGGGAAGAAGGTGGAAGCATTACAGGATGAATTGGAAGCACTGGACCGGGCACTAAAGGATACATTTGACCGGGGGCTCCTGACGCGCCTGAATTCAGTGAAGACGGAACTGAACCTCCTGCTGGATCAGGGCGCGGAAAGGGCCTTACGGTGGACCAAACACAAATTTTACTTGAGTGCTAACAAACTGGGCACATTATTAGCCAGAAGATTAAAAACATTGCCTGATAGACCAGCCCCTATTAGATTGAACACCCCCGGTGGCACAATCTCTGCAAACCCTCAGAAGATTTTAGCGTCCTTCCAAGAGAACCTCACCTCTCTCTAGACTAAATCTCGCACTTTTAGCGCAGAAAAGGCAGACGACATCCTACAGGATGTCACACTCCCGCAGATCACACGGGATGACTTGGACCACCTCAATTCAGATGTGACTACAGAAGAAATACTTCTAGCTATCAAACACCTCAAAGCATCCAAGGCCCCTGGCCCTGATGGCTTCCCGGCCCTTTATTATAAAAAATTGGCACCCCTCCTGGCACCTAAATTGGCTGCAATGTACAATTCCTTCAGACAGGGCAAAACAATACATCCATCCTCACTTCTAGCTTATGTATCCATGATTCCCAAACCTGACAAAGACTCGCTGAACCCCAATAACTATAGGCCCATATCTTTACTGAACATTGACATTAAAATCCTAACTAAAATCTTAGCCACGCGTCTCAACCTTATCGTTGAGTATCGTTCATAGGGATCAGGTGGGCTTTATCCCTGGTAGGCAGGCAGGGGATAATATCCGCAAAATAATCCTCCTAATCCATACCCTCAAGTCTCGTAACATTCCAGGATTCCTACTATCGCTAGATTTACAGAGGGCATTTGATTCCATCTCCTGGGAATACTTACACTATATTTTACATAAATGGGGGTTTGGAGACCCCTTTTTGGTGTGGTTACGGGTACTTTACTCTACTCCGATGGCCCAGGTAAAGTACCTGGGGCACCTGTCCCAGGAGATCCCTATCCGCAGAGGAACCCGCCAAGGCTGCCCACTGTCCCCAGCCCTTTTTGCACTGGCAATTGAACCCCTGGCCATACTCCTTTGATCTAGTCCCAACATCAAAGGAATTGAACTGGCAGGAGTGGAATATAAGGCCAGCCTGTTCGCAGATGAAGTCATGCTTACCTTGACACAGCCGCACATCACAGTCCCTAACCTGCTTGACCTTCTACAGCAATTCTCCATTATCTCTGGGCTGTAAGTGAACTGGGGTAAATCCGCTGCTTTAAATGTAACTCTACCTGCCCCACTGTATAAGCATTTTCGCACCAATTTTTCGTTCGCCTGGGCCAAGTCTTACATTCGGTACCTGGGTGTTAAAATTAGGGCCTCATATGATACCTTGTATTCCGCAAATTATATCCCACTATTCAAAACGTTGACTTACAGGTGAAACTCGAATAATTAGAATATCGTGCAAAAGTTCATTTATTTCACTAATGCAACTTAAAAGGTGAAACTAATATATGAGATAATTTGTGCAATGTAGTTGCGCTAGGAGGGGGAAAAAACACGCCTAATTACCAGCTGCAACAATGTATATAAGTGATGTTCATAGAAGGCTGGTATGTTGCGCTTGGTATTGTGTATTCCCGTTAATGATAAATTCTACGTGTGTATCATACCCCTTGTGATATTTAGATAATTCTAAGTGTTTGTGTTTAATAATTACTCTATTGTGATTAATAATAATAAAGATGTGCCCTATTCCAATTCTACCATATTACTAATTCGTAGTGATGGTAACAGTTATGTGAATGCTGTATTCAACTAGGTGCCTAATAAAACTTTAAACCTATGTTGATGAGTGTTTCTTTTTGATGTGATTTGTAGTGTAAAATGTTCCAGAGGTATTAATGAACCCCACTAATCGAAAAATGTGTGTCTTAAATATATTCAGTGTTACGGGTGTGTCATGCGCTATTCCTTCTTATTTCCCATGTTTCTATGAACCAATTATAGTGAACATCCTTATTAGAAAAATTATTGTGCAGATACGTGATCACTTTCTCCACCAGGGAAAAAATATATTGACCAAAAATTCAAACGTAAAAGCTCTGTGAAGTGATCACTCTGTGGGTTCAAACTATTTGAGACTTAAAAGTATATGAAGGGCGGAATTAAATTCATAGACAATATCTATTGTTGGCTTGAAAAATCTCTCCAGGAAAAATGAAAAAAGATTTTAAACCTTTATTTATTTGTGGTAAAATCGCTGTACTATTTGTTACCCTTAGAATTGTACACGTAGAGTTGCACGTAGAATTTATCATTAGCGGGAATACATAATACCAAGCGCAACATAATATATGAGAGAGACCCATTACATGCAAAGCAAGATAGTTCAAGCCGTGATTTGTCATAATTGTGATGATTATGGCTTACAGCTCATGAAAACTCCAAATCCACAATCTCAGAAAATTAGAAGTTTGTGAAAAGGTGCAATATTCTAGGCTCAAAGTGTCCCACTCTAATCAGCTAATTAAGCCGTAACACCTGCAAAGGGTTCCTGAGCCTTTAAATGGTCTGTCAGTCTGGTTCAGTAGGAATCACAATCATGGGAAAGACTGCTGACCTGACAGTTGTGCAGAAAACCATCATTGACACCCTCCATAAGGAGGGAAAGCCTCAAAAGGTAATTGCAAAATCCCAAACTTCTGTATCACTTCAGAACCTTGCCATGCGCTTGTTGCAGCGGAGTATCCTCCAGTTTATCTGGCATCCCCTCAAGGCCAGGGTGGCGAGAACTACTCCCCAATGTATTGCTGTACTATCAAGCCGCTCAACTCATACCATTGATAACTATGCACCAGCGTCATTCACCCCCTCTCTGGCTTATGCTGGAAATCCCAAACTGCTCTCCAATGCCTCTTACGGCTCTGCCCTGGATACCAGCCTGTGATAGGCCGAGGACCCTAAGCCCACTCATGCGGCATACACTAAAGGTATGGGACTCCATCAAATATTCACCACACCTGCTTTCACCATACCTCCCATTGCTTCCCATTTTCGCCCAACCGCTTTTCAGGCCGGGCTTGGACAACCCCAAGGCCTTTAGTTGGTGGACAAACAATGGATTCCGGGTGGTGTATGACTTACTGCGCTCCTCTGCCATTCCTTCCTGGCAATACTTAAGGGAACATAAGCAAATACCGGGGGATGAACACTTTAGATACCTCCAACTCCACCATTGGATCTCCACTCTAATTCAGAGGAGGGACCCCTCCACCTTATTTACCTGTTTCGAGCATATGTGTCTTCATTCCCCAGAAGGCCCAGGCCTTATAACAATTCTCTACTCACAATTGAACAGATTGGTCAGCCACACTTCCCACACCTATGTCCGTAGCTGGGAAGGGGACCTACACCGACAATGGTCCAAGAAGGAATGGCAACAGATATGGTGCAATATTGCAAGATGCTCCATTAGCGTTACAAATGCAGAGGTAGCCTACAAGGTAATGATGAGGTGGTATCTGGTCCCAGCCAGGGTGGCACGTCTGTAAACCACGTCCGAGGGTACCTGTTTCCGAGGGTGTGAAGAGACGGGGGGATATGCTACACACCTGGTGGCGCTGCCCCCTGGCTACACAGTTTTGGGTTAGGATATTCAAACTAATTGGATCCCTATTCTCTACACATATTCCAATAAATCTTCAATATGCCCTGTTCCATGTGTCTATACCAGGTCTGACTAAGCCTCAACGGGCTCTGGCACACTTTATTTTTTTGGAAGCCAAGCTGAAGCTGACAGGAAACTGTAAGAAACAACTGCTTCCCTATGTCGAATTTATGCACAGGTTGGACAATATTATGTTGAATGAGTGACTGTCTTGCAGGACAAACCCTCCCGGTTTCTAAGTGTGTGGGAACCCTGGCTCTTATCCCGTCATCCAGGGATAGATCCAATGAGCTATTGAGGTAGGAGGCCAACCGCTGGATAGCTGTACGAGACATGGAGAGTGGCAATTATGGATACTCAGTAGGATGGTGGGTGGGTGTGAAATATGGGACCACCCCCTATCCCTAGTAGTACGGGTAACCGGACACTACTAACCCCCCTTAACATCCTTTCCCCTTTCTTTCTACCTGTTCTTTGGGGCCTTTACCCAACCCTATGTTTATGGTTGATAATTGGCTCACTACCAGGGGGCACAGACCTGCTGTCTATGCAAATGCCATACTGATGGCTTATTGTGATTAATGCTTATAACTGTATGGTCGCCCTACCCCTTGAGCGTGCATATGTATAACGCATAGATACACTAATTGTGCTTTTATGACTATAATGATGATCCACTGTGAACCAATGTCTTTATATTGTTTGGAAAATTTCAATAAAAATATTGATACAGAAAAAATAAAACATTTGAAAAAATAAAAAACATTTTCGGTATCTGTTTCGGCCTGACATTTTTTTATTTCGGTTTCGTTACGATTTTAAAATTTCCATTTCGGTGCACCTCTAATAAATATCATTGATATTTACCAATCCTCTGTGCAGCACAAATACCGGCGTGATCGTGTGATCACTCCAGTGTTTGTAAATAACTGGGGACAATAGGGGGTTATTCACAAAGCTGCCAAAGGCAGCCGTGTGAATAACCGACCCGAAGTGAAGTGAGCCGAACCCTGTTCGGTTATTCACTTCCGGCTTGTACAGCTGATTTCAGCCGTACAGCGACTGAAATCAGCCGTACATCGGCTTGCTGCGGCTGGGTTCGGGTCGGCCGAAGTGCAGAAGGAGTTTGACTCGGCTGATCCAACATCTGGATCGGCTTAGCCAAACCTCCGGCAGGCTACTCGTTACTGTTCAGCCTATTCTCATAGGTGCCAAACAGCAGTGAGTGAATAGGCGAGCGGCATTCGGCTCAGCTATTCTGCTCGGTACCTCTGTGGTACCGACAGAATAGAAAAAGTAGGGGGGAAAAGGAGAAAATGATTGGGCGGAGCTAGCATTGACAGCTAGCTCCGCCCAACTGTTTTCTATTGGATGGGACCAGCTGTCATTACCATGGCAGCACCTCCGGGTTCTCAGTGTGTAATGACAGTCCAGCGTCCCCTCCGCCAAGCTATCGGTTGTCGATATATATGCACACACACACACACTTTCTAGTGAAATCAATAACTTTAAAAATGATCTCTTGATGCGTAATTAACCCAGTGATGTGCTATCAGTATAAAAAAAAACAATATCCTTCACAACTGAGTGTGAAAAAATTCAACCACTCAGTGACAGTTCATTATATATATTTTGTAAATATATTAGTGTCCAATTTTATCAAACCTTGAATCAGATCACTCCAAAATCAACCACAAATTGATCCAATCCATGCTGTGTGTTCACACACTATGCCACTCTGTGCTCACAAACAACTCACCAGATATCTTTGACACTCTGACAGCAGGGAGTCAAAAAACGCAGGGGCCTGAGAAACGATCTATGCTCTTAGGGGAACTATGGAGACAGAGGGCTGATGTAGCTTTCATACAGGAGACTCACTTTAAACGTGATAATGTTCCTAAGTTATATAACCACCGTTACCCTACAGTTTTCCACAACCCGTCCCCCTCATCCAAATCTAAGGGAGTGAGTGTCCTAATAGCCAAATCTCTCCCCTGGCAACACATAGCTCAACTCGAAGACACTGAAGGCAGGTTTCTGTTTTTGAAGGGTCGCATCCACTCTCAAACTTACACTCTGGCCAACGTATACCTCCCGAATGTTGATCAGATCTCCTTCTTAAAATCACTCCTGGACAGATTGGAGGGATTCACGGAGGGTACGCTGATTTTAGGTGGGGATTTCAACTTTACGTTGGAACCCGCTTATGACTCTTCTAGGGGTGTTTCTCATTTATCACAAGCCGCGCGCAACCGTATCCGCAAAACCCTCCACAAATTTCAACTAATGGATGTCTGGAGAGTGCTCCATCCTCAGGAACGCGACTTCTCCTATTACTCAACGGTACATGACTCTTATACCCGTATTGATTTTTTCCTGCTAAGGCACGACAGCATCCCTTTGGTCTCGGGGGCTGATATTGGCCAGGTAGCTCTTTCGGACCACGCCCCTATCTCCCTGCTCCTTCAACTCTCACCCTTGCCAAGGAAGCCCCCTACCTGGAGACTTAACGAGACTTTGATTCAGGACCCCGTGATTATGGCCGACGTGGTTAAAGAACTATCCATGTATTTTGAGCTAAATAGAGGATCCGTGCCCAATCCGTTGCTGGTTTGGGCAGGCCATAAGAGCTACATTCGTGGCATCCTTATAAAACATGGTCATCGACTGAAAGCCGCTAGACTAGCTAAAACGAACGACCTATTCCTTCGCATCCATCGATTAGAATTGATGCACAAAAGGCAGTGTTCCGCCACGATAGCACAGCAGACCTCTCTCGAATTTTCAGATTGAACTTTCTGTCATTCCAACGCTCATTGCATTCTGACTTGCTGAAGTGGAAGACTTTAGCCATATCCTGGTTTGGAAGGTGCAACGTCTTAAAAATGAATGTGATGCCTCGTCTTCTCTACCTTTTCCAGACCCTACCTATTCGTGTCCCTAGAAATTTCCTGCGTGCCCTACGGTCGGCATTTCTGAAATTTATTTGGCAAGGAAAATCAGCGAGGCTCAGACGTGCTATTCTAATGCGCTCTAAATCTCAGGGAGGCATAGGACTTCCGGACCCGGAACTCTACTATCTTGCCACGCACCTAACACGTGTAGTGGATTGGTGTAAACATGGAGAGCACAAACTATGGGTCCAAGTAGAGCAGGACTGTGTAGAATTCCCGCTGCAAGGAGCCCCGTGGGTAGAACATCGTTTCCTCCCCGCCTTACTTCAACATACTCTGGCCGGCCTACTATCTTTTCTATACAAAAATACTATACGTTGTGTGGTATGTCCCCCCTGTCCGTCCCCTCAAACACCTATTCTGGGCCATCCTGGGCTCACCCCGGGATTCACGGATAAACATTTCCGGGCATGGTCAATGGCTGGCCTGATTGCGGCCCGAGCGTTCATTCATCAGGGTCAGTGGAAAGATCCTTCTGTACTCTCAAGAGAATTTCAGGTCCCTAACCTTAACCCATGGCGGCACCTACAGCTTTCATACTTTCTAAAATCCTTACCCAGCGTGACACTATTTGTCCGGGAGACCACTCCCTTTAAGGAGCTGTGCGAGGGCGAAGGCGTGGTCCGGGGGACTCTCTCTATGGCTTATAAAATACTGCTACAGGCAGTGTCCACTGC